GCCGGGGCTTTCTGGGGGGCGGGAGATGGCTCGCTCTAGCCTCTCAAACAGAGCAGCTCGGGGAGCCCTGCGTGCGTGTATGCGGAGGCTGCAGATGGCACCAGACACTTGAAGCAGCCGGCACAGAGGCAAACAGTGCTGAAGCCAGGACTGGGGCCAGGACTGGGGGCGGCCTTCACGCTCCGCGAACCCAAGCCACCGCTGCGCTATGCCTGCCGCCCAGGGACCCGTTTTCCCCCAGCCTGTGCAGAGCCACCCCCGTAACAGGGGAGGGCCAGGAGAACACCCTCCTTCGGTGCAGCCATAACCGGCAGCCCTGGCTGGGCCACCACGGACTGCTTTGCTTTGTGTGTGGGCTTTTTCTGGCCCAGGTGCCGCTCCCTGGGATGCTTAGCGATCAGTCACACGCAGAGCCTGCTATGTCCTGAGTCCCTGGCAGGTCTGCTGCCCAAATATCACCCAAAGCCACTAATCCTGGTCACCGCCACAGACACCTCCAGGCTCAAGCCACCACTCCCCGATCCCAAACCCAGGTGCCACAGCAGCCTCTCACAATCTGCCTGCTTCTCCTCTCATCCCCTGGCCCGTTCAGCCCACAGCCATCTTTGTGAGACATGAAGAGTCCTCAAATGGTTAAACGGACAGTGACCCTATGACCTGGCACCTACCATGTGACCTCCGCTCCTTGGTATCCACTCAAGGGAGAAGAAGAGCTGCAGCCACACAAGCTCCTGGGCACGAATGTCCGTGGCAGTGATAGTCACAATGGCCCAAAGGTGGAAACAACCCCAACGTCCATCGATGGATGAATGGCTATATAGAACGTGGCAGGGCCACAAAATGCAGTATTATTCAGCCTTAAAAAGGAAATGACAGACGTGCCCAACTGTGAATGTACTTATTGCCACGGAACTGTCCACTCAAAGATAGTGAAGGTGGCAAATTTTATGATCTATATATCTCACCACAAGTTTTTTAAAAAGAAGGAAACGGTGACACACCCTCCAGTGTGGATGAACCTTGAAAACCTCGTGCCAAGTGAGAGAAGCCAGACACAAAAGTCCACGTGGTTCATGATTCCACGTATATAAAATGTCCAGAACAGACAAATCCATGGAGACAGAGAGCAGATGAGTGGGTGCCAGGGGCGGGGGGCTTCCTTTCAGACTGATGGAAACGTCCCAAAGTTGACTGGTGATGGTTGCACAACTCGGTGAACAAGCGAAACACCACTGAATGGTGTATTTTAAGTGAGTAGACTGAAAGTACTTGGAATTGTATCTCAATAAAGCAAAGGATCAAGCCCTTTGCCATCACAAACCTTCCCAGGGCCCCTCCCTCAGTGCAATCGAGGGCTCGCCAAGCCACGCCAACCTCACCTCGACCCTCGCTCTATATGTGCCGGTCTGTCTTCTGATCTGTCCTCAGCCTTGCCAAGCCATTCCCACTTTAGGGTCTCTGTGCCTGCCTGTCCCTCACCTGGGGCACTCTTCCCCGGTGGGGGGGGGAGGGGGCTGCATCTCACTGCTGGGGTGTCAACTTCCCACCCTGGCCAGTCCCAGCAAGTCACTCTGTTGCTTCTCTCTGAGAACACCTGTTTTGTTCATTTGCAGCAATTCTCTCCTGTCCCCCCTAAAACCACACTGGCTCCCCAAAACCATGGCCCTCACATGCCCTGGATGCTGCTGTTTCCCCAGCACCCAACATGGTCCCTGAACAGTCCCTGAAATGTGCTGCCCCAACCTTACAGGCCAAGATTCTGAGGCCCAGAGAGGTTAAGAGACCTGCCCAAAGTCACAGAGCAGAGCACCATGGCCCTCCCTGCACCTCGGGCTCCCCCAAGTCTGAGGATGAGAATGGAATACTCATGCACCGACCCTTCCACCCTGCGACTTGAAAGTGGTCTCCCCGACATCACACCTCATCCCCACACCCAACCTGGTCCTTAGGGTTCCTGCCCCTGGGTAAGGTCACAGCATGGATTTATGCATCAGGCTGAACGTCTGCTGGCTTTCACATGGTAATGGCATGCCTATCACCACCAAGGACCGCAGACTGACACTTGGGCATTCATGGGAAGGAGTAGGTATCAAAGCAGCCACATTCCCCCTGTTCGCAGGTAAAAACTTTGAGATCTATCATAGGGGAAGGCTGCAGCCACAGAAGGGCAGGAGGGGAGCCTGTGTCAGGTGGGTTCGCTCCCCTGCACCAGGCGTTGGCAGATTTGCCGCTTGTCACACGCAACAGCCCAAGAGGCTTGGAAAGAGCTTGCTCATCCTGGTCCCAGGTGTGGGAAAAGCCACCGGCCCGTCCAAGACGGCACACCATACAGGTGGGTGCAGAGCTTTGACCTCTATCTGACCAGGTGCAAAGCTTGTACCCCCGCCCCCTCAACATTTCCTCCAAACTGAAGGGTTTTTAGCCTCAGCACTGCTGACTTTTGGGCCTGCGTCACTCTCTGTGGTGGGGGCCATCCATGAATCGTGAGGTGTTGAACAGCATTCCTATTCTCTACCCACTAGATGCCAGGAGCGCCCCTCTACCCCAGACAAGACAACCAAAATGTCTCCAGACACTGCCTAATGTCCCTGCGGGACAGAATTGCCCCCCATACAAAACACTGCTCTGTCTCACAAGATCCAGTGTAAGTTCACCTCCGCCCAGGGCTCACGCCCAACTCCCAGTGTAAAGGAAGGCGAGAGAGGGAAGAAAGAGACAGAGAATGGTTACCAAGAACAAGAGAATGGCTGTCTGCATATCTTACAAATCTTTTCTAACTCTATCAATAGATGACACATAGGCAAATGTGCTCCACGTGTTCAGTGGAGTATTACTTGGCCATTAAAAGCAATGAAGTTCTCTGATATACGCTACAATGTGGATGAACCTTGAAAATATTATGCTGAGTGAGAGAAGCCAGACACAAAAGGCCACACGTTGTAGGATCCCATATATATGAAATGTCCAGAATAGGTAAATCCATAGAGACAGAAAGCAGACTGGTGGTTGCCAGGGGCTGAGGGAGGGAAGAATGGAGAGTGACTACACATGGGCACGGGATTTCTTTCGAGGGTGATGAAAAGTGTTCTGGAATTAGACGCTGGTGATCGTTGCACTACTCTGTAAAATACACTAAAAACCACTAATTTTTACACGTTCAACAGATGAATTATTCAGTACACAAACCATATGTCAATAAAACTATTACTTTAATGAAATCTTTTTAAAAACAATAATACATTTCCAAATCCAACGCAGAAACCAGACATCCAGTCATGAAAACAGCCATCAACCTAGCATGACCCCCTTCTTCCTGTCACACTACATACACCTACTGCATGAGACAAGATAAAGTGGACATTCTTGCCCTCAGAGGCCCTGACTTACGGGGACACTCAAGGTGCTTGCTTGCTTGCTTTCATTCATTCATTCATTCATTCACCGACCATCTCTTCCTCTACATGCTAAGCAAAAACATGAGCTGCCGGAGCAGGAACAGACGGTACCTGGTCAATGGTGAGCACCCCATCAATATGTGCCAAACAAATGCACAGAAATGAAGATACACATTCTAGCCTACGTGGTCATGATCTCACAGAGAAACAAGCAACTAATTAGAAAACGGTATGACCTGAAAATTCCACCTGAAGAATCAGAGACTGAGGCTCACGTCACACAGGTATGTCTGCCTAGGACAGTCAGATCGGAGGCCAAATCCAGAAACCAGCCATATGGGTGTCTGCAGCTCCCATGCAAACCCTCCCCAAGGCCTTAGGATGCAGGACAGGGGGGAGGGTCCCGCCACTCTGCAGGAATGCAGCAGAGACTTACTGCCACCTGTGCAAAGCGTGCTCTCCTCTTTGACCCACAAGGAAGGACTTGCTAGACACACCTGACAAAAGAGGATACTGAGGCCTGAGGAGCTTGGGACCTCAGTGCAGTCATGTGGCCAGAGAGCTGGGCCCAGGAGAAGAGCCAAGCCTCCAACTCCTCTCAGGGCCCACAGCAGCTTCCCAGGTGAGGTTAGCAGGTAACCTGGCCTGCCCCTGCACGCCAAACACAGCCAGCAACTTGAGGAAGAACTGTCCCTCCACCCTGGTCCTGAGAGGCCAGGAGCCATCTGTGGCCAGCTGTCCCTTGTCTCAGTGGGAGGAACACAACCTGGTCCCCACCATATGGGCTACATGGGGAAGGGGTAGCTGTCTCCACTCCAAGCTCCAGGATGGAGCACAATCTGTCTTCCTGACCAACCTCAGGTCCCCACAGGAGAGGGCACCAAAACTTTCCTTCAGATAATCCGAAAGGGAGAAATACCTATCCCACCTCAAGTCTACAAATGAAGATACCTGTCCTTCCTCCAACACCCAGGGAGTGAAGGTACAGGTGACAAAGATGTAGAGACACCCATCCCTTCAGGTAGCAATGATGTGGGGACAGCTGTTCCCCTTAGTTCACAATGATGTGGAGGTACTTTTCCCGCACCAGGTACGAACTATGTGGGAACATCTATCCCCCCTTCCCCAGGTAACAATGATGCTTGCAAGCAGCGCCCAGTTCACACACCTCACAGTATCATCGTGTCTTCCCTAGGTAGCAGTGATATGGAGGCATTTGACCCCCTCAGGTAGCAAGGATGTAGGGACACCTGTCTCTCCTCAGGTAACAATGATGTGGTGGCACCTACTCCCTCCAGGTAGTAATGATGTAGAGGCCACTGTCCCCTCCAAATAATAATGAAATAGTGACACCTATCCCCACCTCCAAGTAGCAATGATGTAGGGGCAATTGAACCCTTTCAGGTATCCGTGATGTGGGGGCACCTGTCCCGCCCACGATGCCCGGGGCGTAGGAACACCTGTACCCTCAGGCTGTGCCAAGCCCCGCCCCGCCGCGCGCGCGCCCCGCCCCCGCCGCGCGCCCCCCGCCCCGTGCACACGCCGGACACGCGCCCCCTCCCTCCCTTCCCGGCCCCGAAGGGTCGGGGCGGACAGCCCCCTTACCCGCGCGGCCCGCGTCAGGCTCAAGTCCTTCATGACCTCCTCGAAGGCCGCTGTCTCCTCTGCCTGCTTCTGGTTGTGCAGGGCGATCTTCTCGCTGAATTTCCGCGGATTGTTCGAAGTCGCCATCTTCTCGCCGCCGCCTCCTCCTCCTCCTCCTCCTCCACCTCCTCACCCCCCCACTCGCCAGTGCCACCGCGCAAGCGCCGGCCGGGCCCGCGGGCGGCGGGCAGTGCGCAGGCGCCTTGGTGGTCGTGAGTGCGGCGCAGGCGTACGGGAGCGGTGCGCGGCGCGGGGGCGAAGGCGCATGCGTACGCCCAGCCGCGCGCTCGGGTCCAACAGAGGAGGCGGGGGGTTGGCGGGTGGAAAGAGTAGGGTTTGAGCACATGCGTAGTGCGTAGACTCCTGGCCCGCTGGACAGCGGCCGCCTGCCTATTGGACAAGCATGGTTCGCCGACGGGCTGGGGCGCTGGAGCCCCCAAGGAGACCGCCGGACCCAAAACCTTCCAAATTACAAGGATGGGGCCAGCAACCCACAAAGACAGGTAGCACCCCGATGCTGAGCCGGGGCTCGGATTAGTTCAGCTTTGAGACCAGTTCAGGGAGTTGCTCATTCGTGCATTCATCCATTCAACGAATATTTATTGAGCGCCTGTATGTGCCAGGCACACTGAGGAAAAGGCGTGAGCAAGCAGACGTGGTCCCTGACCTGACGGGGTGCGCAGTTAGGGACGGGGACAGACATAACCAACCAACAAATGACCCAAGAACATTTCTGATGGAGTTAATTGTGATGTGGAAAATAAAACTAGGGGCGCCTGGTTGGCTCAGGTCATGATCCCGGGGTCCTCCGATTAGCCCCACATCAGGCTCCCTGCTCCGCGGGGAGCATGCTTCTCCCTCTCCTGCCTGCTGTTCCCCCTGCTTGTGCTGTGTGTGTGTCAAATAAATAAATAAAATCTTTAAAAAATAAAAAAGAAAAGAAAACTAGTAATGGACTGGCAGGATATTGATGATAGGGAGGGAGGCTCCTGGCCACCACTGTCAGGGAAGTGGGGGGGGGGCATTTGAGCTGAGGCCTGAACCTTGTCAGCAGCCCCCACAGCCCCAAATCCCAGGCATCATCTTTAACATCTTGTTTTCCCTATCACCTTACATTTGACCAGTTTCTACTCTCTGGATCCTTAAGCCTGAAGGAACACAAGTTTGACATGGGGTGCTATAGGAAAGGTTCAGAAATCGCACCTAGACTAGACCCGGCAGTGAAGAGGGTAGCAGGGTCTTCCCAGTGGCAGATGGGGGACCCAGGGAAACAAGAAAGGTTCTGACATCTAACTGTCCCTTCCCAAGCAGAGGGACCATGACCACCAATATCAAAGGTTTACATTCAGAAGGCTCCAGGGATTTCGAGGCATGGACAGGGCGGAAGCCAAGAGGGGCAGCTAGGGAATTGTGGGACAGCTCTAACTGAACAAAAAGCACACTCGAAAGAAAGAAAGAGAAAAGATTTTTAAAAAGCACACTTTTTACTAGGGTGAGGGATGGCTGGAGGGATTGCTGGTGATGATCATAGGGGGAATCACCATTATTTTCTGAACATGCTTTTATTCACACTTTACAACTGTTCGCTGAATACTGTCCATATTAAATATATAGATAGATTTTAATTTGGATTATCCTGGGCACTACCACTGCTTTATTTTATCCTTTTTGTTCATATGGTTTTGAGCACTTTCATGGTCTTCTAAGCTTTTTGTCCAACAAGCATCTGCCCTCCCCTTTTGGGTGCCAACAACCAACTGCCCAGGGAACATTCTGCAATTTTCAGTCCATGATATGTGGATGGCATGAGCTTCATTACCCTCGCTCCCCACAAACCCACCTTCCCAAGGTGGAGGTCTTTGCCAATCATCAGAGCCCATTGCTTTGCCTTCATGATTGGCTCAAGGCAGGCACGTGATCCTGTTTGCACAATGAGATGCAATTCTGAAATTTTTGCTTGAACCACTGGAAAGAGAAGCACCCTTTTTGCTTGGATGGCTGGTTTGAAGGATAACACAAATTTGCTGTGTCAGAGGTCACTACTTAAGAGAGATGTCCCAAGAGAGTGGCCCTTACACAGAGAAAAACAGAATCAAAGTTAGACACTGAGCTCCTGGATCCAGCCATGCCTGAAGCTAAACACTCCTACATTTTCAGTTATATGAGCCAATAATTTGTTCTCTTCTTTGCTGAAGTCGATTTGAAGTCTATTTTCTGTCTCTGGTGCTGACAGAGACCGCAGACCATAGCTTCTGGGAGTCAGGTGCAGAGCTGGGCATTCTACAAATATGGCTTCCGATTCCAGCCACCATCCTATAAAATAGGAGAGGAAATACAAACAGAGTAGGAATGGCAGCTGCCTGTACGAAGTTAAGTGCCAGAGCCAGGACTAGACCTCAGACCTGACAGCAGAGCTCAGCTTTCTTCTCCGCACTGGGTTTTGTAAGGTTTAAATGCTGTGAATACATGTCAGGTGCCTAGCTTATAACAAGTGCTCAGAAATTGCTGGTAATCCTGATCACTTACATATGTCTGCACTAAGCCAGTTTCTGGGCAGAGAAAATAAAAAGATTTGGTAGGTAGCAGGGGTTATCAGGTCCCGAACTGGGCCATGCCCGCAGAGCAGAGGTGAAGACCCAGTGCTTGCCCTACTCACCCCCATTCACCCTACACCCAGGCAGTAACCCAATCCGTCCTAAACCCTGGTGATGAGTCAGAGGAAGCTGTGAGCCTGCTTATTGCGTAATGGCCGGACAATGACCCAAGCCCTCCTCCCGTTCCATTGACCCCCAGTCCGAGGAAGGCAAGGCTGAAGCGTCTGGTGACCAGGGCAGAACCCAGCCCTGCTGTTTTTGCTTTCTTCACTCATCAAAGAAAGCTGCTAATGCTAGTGTGGCCTGGGCGGGCTTCTTGGACCAGCCCATGGTCTCTGTAAGTCAGGGTGGATCTCATGCTCCCCATCACACTTAGGAAAAAAATCCACCCTCCTCCTGGCGACTCAGGAGGCCCTCATGCCCCTTCCGCCCCCCTGGCCTCTCATTCCAGCCAGTCCAGCCTTCTTGCTGTACCACCTCCAGATCTCGGCATGCACTGGAGCCTCTGCCGACTGCTTCTGCATCGTTGTGGCACCTTCTCATTTTCAGGTCTCTCCTCTGAAAGACGCTCCCTGGGGGCCTATCTGAAATCTGTCCCTATGTGTGTCCCATGACCCGTGAACATCCCACTCTCTGAAGGCAGCTGTTTCCAGGGTGCTATCTGCTCCCTGCTAGACCGACTGAGACCAGAAGCTGAAAGTATGTTCACCCTACCCAAACACTCCTGGGCTCAAGTTCCCTGTGTGATGCACAGAGGACACAGACATACCAACTCCTTAGTCTTAAGGCTTATTCTTTATCCCTTGAAGGGTCTGAGCACTTTAAGCCTCATTTTAAAAAAAAATTTTTTTATTTATTTATTTGGGAGCGCGAGAGAGCACACGCACGCGCGCGCACACACACACACAAATGTGAAGGGAGGGGCAGAGGGAGAGGGAGAAGGAGAGAATCTCAGGCAAACTCCCTGCTGAGCTCAGAGCCTGACACAGGGGCTCGATTTCATAGCCCATGAAACCATGACCTGAGCCCAAATCACGAGTTGGACGCTCAACCCAACTGAGCCAGCCAAGCGCCCCTCAGCCTTATTTTATACTTGCCTATTCATTCTGTTTTCCTGGGTCCCCAGAGCTAACACAAACCTAGGCACAGAGGGAGAGTTAGGAAGTGTTCGTTAAATGAATCATTTTCTGCCTGGGAAACTCCTATTCATCCCTCAAAACCCACCTCAAATGCCCCCTCCCTCCAGAAAGCCCATCCTGACCCCTAAGAAGAGCTGTGTTCCTCAGTCTAGGGTCACCCAACCTGGAGTCCTTCCCCAGCCAACCCTGACCCAAAAGGGCTGGGAGTATCCAATTGTTGAATAGTTTCACTTTAGTTACACACCACATCCAAGTGTGAGCTAAGAAGTGAGTCCCTTTAAGGCATTTCCTGCTGCCTGCAGAATATGGTTTTCTCTCCTCTGCTTCATAGTCCTGCCTAGCTCCATTTGTTCCTGGCCAGCTTCCCCAGCATCATCTCCCACTCTTCCCTTTCTCACGTCCGCCACTCCAGCCTTGCTGCATTCTGCCACAGGCTGTCTCCCTGCCTAGAATGCCCTTCCTCTGCATCCAGGCCATAGCACTTCTGAGCATACAAGCTAAATTAAAACCTAAACTCCTGGGGCACCTGGCTGGCTCAGTCGGAGGAACACACGACTCTTGGGTCTCGGGGTCGTGGGTTCAAGCCCCACATTAAGTGTAGAGATTACTTGAATAAATCTTTAAAAATAATAATAATAAAACAAACCTAAACTCCTGAACATTCCTTTGCGGTCCAGCCCTTACCAATTCTCCACCTGTTTGACAACGGAAAAGTGACTTCTCTCTGAGCCAGGCTGCCCTGTGTTAAATGCGGATGGCGGTACTCCTCGTTGCAGGCTCTTGGGAAGATTAAATAGATAACGCATGTAAAGCACTTAGCTCAGCGCCTGCTTCCTCGCAAGCATTCAATAGCTGTTAGGGAAGAAAACCCTACCTCGAGAGTTTAGTTTTCATGCCTTGCTTTTCTGCACTACCTTATATGGAATCTTAGTCAATCCGGGGTACCCACATCGCGTAGAGGTGAATTCGGGCCATCGGAGCAGGAAGGCAAAGAGGAAAACCACCCAGGGCCCGTCTTTGACTTCCAAACCAGGCCCTCATCAAAGTTTTGAAAGGCAAAGCAAGAGCCAGGTTTGATTATGAAGCAAAAGGGGAGAACCTGAAGGAGGCCAGAAATGGCCAGGCATGGAACAGGAAGGGGTTCGCTGAGGACCTAGGCCTCTTATCACCCCCCCCATCCCAGGCTGAGTGTAGGTGAAAGGGGGGCAATAAGGCAGAGCTGCCGAAGAGGGTAGCAAGAAGCTGGAACTGAGGGGGCAGGGGCCCAGGGGACGGCTTTATGGGATGGCAGGACAGGGGCAGCGGCTCAGGTCATGATCCCAGGGTCCCGGGATCGAGCCCCGCATCAGGATCCCTGCTCCACGGGAAGCTTGCTTCTCTCTCTCCCTCTCCCCGTGCTTGTGTTCCCTCTCTCGCTCTCTGTCAAATAAATAAAAATTAAAAAAAAAAAACAAAACTAAAGCCACTGGTATGACTGATCCAACGATGGGCCTCAGTCCTCCTCTGTTCCTGTGTCCTGCCCTTTGCAACACTCCTATGTAGGTCTTCCTTCTCAAGTTTGAGGATATGTCCCCAGCCCTGATTCTGGACTTGACCCTGTCATCTGCTTTGGCCAAAGGCATACGGGCAGAAGAGACAGCATACGGTTTCCAGATCGGGACCTTAGAAGGCTCGCGTGATTCCGCTTGTCCTCTGGTGGCACTGTAGAGCATGTTGGCCAGCTGCTAGTCCGAGGCTGTGAGACAGGTGGATCTGAGACTCCCAGCTACTCCACAGCCTTGCACCAGGAGGCAGAGCATGCCCAGCCGAGGGCAGCCCAGAACAAGCACCCTCCAGCGGAGTCACAGACACATGAGAAAACAAACATCCATTTTTGCATGCCATTGAGACACGGGGCTGTTTGTTACCCAGCAGCAGCAACAAACACTGAGGTACCCTTTTCCCCACTCCCCAGGCAGCTAGGGCATTGACACAGGGCATGGGCTAGGCCAACAGGATGTTTGTGCTCCAGAACAAGAGGTGCAAAGAAGTAGCATCAAGACAAGACAGGGGCATCTGGTTTTCAGGGGCAGCTATGGCTGAGTGCCCAAGGGCAGGTGGCAGTGCCAATTGAGGCATCTGGATTCCATGGTGATGACAGAAGTGTCCCCACCAACCAGTTCCCCGGCATGATTTCAGCTGATCGCCCCGGCTGCCTCACCCCCTTGATTTCTACTGTTTTCTGAGCCTGGTTTTCCAGCCTTCCTGCCACTTTTGTGAGGAAATGAACAGCCTTCCAATGCACATTTTTGCCATTTAAATCAGCCTGAGGCAGTTTCTGTTGCTTGCAATAAAAACCCTGTCTTCCATAAGATGGGCAATCCCCAGCATGTTACATTTATAATATAAATTTGAAACTGTTTTGAGTTACAAGTATCAGAATATCTAACCACTAGTATCTTAAGCAACACAGGCAGTGTGATTTCTCATAAAAAGGAGTCTGGAGGTCAGAGGTTCCAGGGTGGGACAGGTGGCTCTGTGATTTCAGCACTTTGGGAGGAGGCATCGCAGCACCTCGCTTAACTTGCTCCTCATGGCCACAAGATGGCTGCAGAAGTTCCTGGCATCGTGTCCTCACAGGAAGCAGTAAGGGAGGAAAGGGGGCAATAAGGCCTCTCTTGTGTCCAGAAACCCCCCCACCCCAGACCTCCCCTTAAAGTTGCTGGCCAGATCTGGGAAATGCGCCCAAATCAAAAACAACCCCAGCAAAAGGCGTTGCCAAGAATGGCTCAGCCAAATCCTAAATTAACCCCCGAGGCTGGGCACGCTGCTGCTGGCTCCAAATCAGGGCTCTGTTGGTGAGGAGGGAGAAATGGCAGCCGGGATGGCAATAAGCAGGGTCAGCCACAAGATGTAAGCTGCAGCCTTGCTGTAGGCAGCTTCACGGCCCTCTTGCCCTTGGGGTCCACAGGCAAATGGTACCCATGGACACCGGAGTGGGTGAGGCTCTGCTCCCACCTCCCCACCCCAGGACCTCTCGTTTGTGCGGTAAACATTCGAACTGTGCCTCCAAGGCCAGGTGCCCCTAATAAAACCCAAGCACTGAGTCTCCACCATGAGAAGCAAAATCTCCGGGGCCTGTGAGAACATAGGAGAAGGAGCTACGTTCTTGGAGACAAAGCCAGGGGCAGGTTTCCAAGCTGGCCAGGTCCGGGGCAGATTCCCACCTCACACAGCTCCCCGGAGGCCCCTTTGGCCTCGCTTGCTGCGAGGCCCCAGAAGTCACACTTGGCCTGCCTCTAGCGGGCCTGAATCCCACCGTCCCGGGAGACAGTGTTTTCCCACAGCCCGAGCCCAGGTGTGGAGGGAGGCTCCTGCCGGCCGCATCCAGGGCCTTGGTGGGGAAGCAGGCCATCTGGAAGCACACGGGCTTTCCCCAAGCTCAGTCCCTACATGCAGTGGCTGGCCATTCATGGCCCAAGCCGCCCTGGGTGAAAGGTGAATGGAGGGAGATGAGGTGACAGGCTCCAGACCCCTTCAGGGTGCTAAGTAGAGAGATCCAGGCTGGTCCAAGGGTGAGTGTGATTGTGTTTGTGTGAGCAAGCACGTGAGCACGTCGTTGAGCATACAAGCAAGGCTACATGTGAGCACCAGTGTCACCATGTGAGTGTGCATGTCACAATGCGTGAGTGCAGGTGTGCATGTGAGCTTACGCATGTGCGTGCATTTGTGTAAGGGTGTGTGTGCAAATGCATGTTCCGCCTTTCTCTGAAGGACACAAACGTTCACAAACTGAAGATTCAAGCCAGTTTCTGCTAAATTAAAAACAGCTTTCTCGTGTTTAAAGTTTACAATACAAAAAATAATTTTCCTTTCTTCCGGGGGGGGCGGGTGAAGAGGGAGGGGCAGGGGGCCCCTGAGAACATTCCATGAACCAGCCCAGACGGTTATGCACAATCGACCCGGTTAGATACGGCAGCGCCCCCCCCAACCCCACCCCCTGCGCCGGCACCCCTGCCAGCTCATTGGGGACAAGATGTTCTGAGGTGTGAGCTGATCTGGGGGGACTTGCAGCTGGCAAAAGATTCTCACTGCCCCCCCGAAGGGGCCATGCCTCTAGCAGGGAAAGGTTCTCCTTGGGGGAGCTCAGGTTGGGGGGGGTAAAAAGGGACTGGAATGTTCTGGTAAGTCCCCAAGGGCTGCTGCTTTCGTTTCAATGCCCCTGGCAGCATGGGTTCCTTCCTGGTTCCCAACCAAGTTTTTATTTCAACGCTGCCCCCCACCCACACATCCGGCCTCGCTCTGGGGCCCCAGTGGCTGCTGCACAGGAGCACCAGGCCTGCGGGTGCATTTTGAGGGGGATCCTGGACGCCTCTCCTCTCAGAAAACTGTCCGTGAACAGCAGGCTTTCTCCACCAACATACAGCCCAGTTCGTGGCGAGGCCAGCCATGAGAGCAGGGGTTAGGAGCCATTCACAGAGCTCTTAGGCCCATATGGAATGGAGATGACTTCATGCTTCTTTTAGGACCTGCCCTGCGTCTCCGCCATCACGGCCTCCAGGGAGAGGGGCTCCCCAGCTCCCCAATCGCACACCCCAGGACTGAGCAGATGGAAACAACCTGCCAGGAGCTGGCGGCTGTCTGGTGGCAAGGGGCCAAGCCACCAGGCCCATGGAACAACCTGGAGAGAGTCTCTCCGAAGGCCACCCAGCCCAGGGCAGATTTGCCCTTTCTTCCCGGCACCTGGTGGAAGTTCTGGCCACACTTCTCACTGCCCCACACCCCTGAGCCAAAGGCCAGCCCCCCTTCCAGCTCCTCTGCAATGCTAGAAAAGGGCAAAGAGGGGAGGGGAGCCCCTAACCACATAGAGGACATGAGGAATCTGTGACCCATCAGGCCCCACAAGCTCAGCGCTGGGCCTGCTCCATCTTTTCACCATAACATTTTTATTAAATGAAGGAAAATATTAGGAGACGACATCTGCTAAGATATGAGGTTAATTCTTTACACGGTGAGTGGGTCACAGAGACACGACATCAATCGTCCATTAGCAGCAGAAGAGATACTTTAAGTTGCCCCGAGGGTACAAATCCCATTTATAAGACAGCAATGCCGGTGTCTTTAAAAAAAAAAGCAGAATAGGGGCGCCTGGGTGGCTCAGTCACTAAGCGTCTGCCTTCAGCTCAGGTCATGATCCCAGGGTCCTGGGATCGAGCCCCACATCGGGTTCCCTGCTTGGCGGGAAGCCTGCTTCTCCCTTTCCCACTCCCCCTGCTTGTGTTCCCTCTCTCGCTGTCTCTCTCTGTCAAATAAATAAAATCTTAAAAAAAAAATGAAAATAAAATAAAGCAAAATAGAAACCCCCCTTAAAAAATAATAATAATAAACAGCTTTAGAGGTTTGACAACAAAACAAATGTGGCCGGAGCTGCTGCAAAGCCCCTGAAGGGAAGAGGCCGCACCACCCACCTGACTTCCCTTGCTGAGGGGGCCCAGGCCTGGTGGCAGGACAACGTGAACACAGGACAAGGTGGGAGTGGAAGGCTGGAGAAAGGGAGAGAGATAAAAATCTCGTAGGAATGCAGACACACTGTGAGTTCTAAAGCAGGTGTCACCCTTGCACCAGGGGATGAGGAAGGGAACGGGGGCATCTTGGCCTGCTCCTCACTGAGGCCCCACGAGACGCCCCACGCCAAATGGAAGGCTGGCCGACTATGAGGACCGTCTCTGACAGCTGGCTGTGTTTCTTCCTTCTGAAAGTGGACAACCGCACACACCGAAGGTATTGGGACTGAAGACAGGCATGGAGACAAGTGTGAGACTCTCCTCCAAGGCCACGCTCCCACCCCAGCAGCCTGGGCTTATTGGAGGCAGAAATATGCCCACTCTTGAGGTCAACCCTGAGCTGGGTGCTTCCCTGCCACCTCACCAGCTCCTGGAGGTCCATATGTTACAGAGTTTGGGGGTGGTGTTTATTTTTAAAAAATAGATGATGCAAGGAACTTGGGAGGGGGCAGGGCACAAACCATGGATTTGGGGATCGACGTTAATGAGCTCGCATCAGAATGTCTGAGTCCGCTGAGCTGGCGGGAGGAGAGAAGTGGGACAAAGCCACACAACCACACCTCAAAGGAGACCCTGATTCCCTCCGTGAGCAGGGATATGGGGCAGGTGAGGAAACCTCCTTGGGTGTGACTCTGCTGCCATGACACGTCAGCCTCATCGCTGGCAGGCTCCCTCAGTGGGCACGAAGCCAGGATCTGCTCTGGGAAGGAAGGAGGGACCCCAGAAGGGGGCCTCATCAACACAGCAGGCCCCATGACGTCAGCCCACGGGCCCGGGGTGGTTCTGTGGTTCTCGGCCCCAGTGTGCGCTCACCACACCCCTCGCAGAGACAGCCTGAGGCTGGGCCGGGTCCCAGGGGTCCCAGGGGCTACCTCCTGGTCCCTGACCGGGGCAGCAGGACAGGGGCACAGGCGATGCCCGCGAAGGACTCTGGGAAGTGCAGGTCGCGCTCCCACTCATCCGTCTCCGTGTTGTACACCTGCACGATGCCCGTCACATTGTTGAGGCGCCAGTTGTAGCCCCCCACGATATAGATCTTCCTATCCAGCAGGCAGCAGCCAGCCTCCGACTGGCCGGCCCTCATGGGGCTCACGCTGGTCCACTGGTCCGTCTCGGGCACGTAGTACTCCACTGCCAGCACGTCAAAGCAGCGGTCCACGTGGTCCATGCGGCCACCGAGGGCATAGATGCGGCCACCGGCCCCCACCATGGCGTGAAGCACGCGGGGCTCACTCATGGGTGCCTTGAACTCCCACTGGTCGGCGGCAGGGTCGTAGCAGTGCAGCGCCTTCTTGTCCTCCACGGAGATGCCGTAGCCGCCGGAGATGTAGAGGCGGCCCCCCGCCGAGGCACCCGCGTGGCCCCAGGTGCGGCGCTTCAGAGAGCACGCGTAGCCCCACTCGTTGCGCCGCGGGCAGTACCGTTCGACTGAGGCCAGGCTGCCCGCCCGGTTGCGGCCGCCCGTGGCGTACACCATGCCGCACAGCACATTCAGCTGGAACTGGATGCGGCTCTCCTGCATGGCCTGCAGGCGCAGCCAGCGGTTCAGGTGGGGGTCGTAGCGGTAGCAGGCGTCCACCGCGCCCTCACCGCTGCGGTACTGCAGGTGCTGGCCCCCGGCCACGTACACGAAGTTGTCCAGGACGGCCACGCACGTGTGGCTGCAGCCCACCTCCATCTCGGTGAGTTCCCGGAAGTGGCGGGCACCGGGCTCGGGCAGCTGGTACACCTTACTGCTGACAGAGCGGTCACTGTCGGTGTAGGGCGTGCCACCGAAGGCGACCAGGGAGGGCACGTCGGAGCGCACGACTGTGCGCGGGGACTGCATCTCGTGCTGCCGGAAGGGTAGCACCTGGTAGTTGAAGGCCTCCAGCAGGTACTGCCGGCACAGCACATCCTCCACCATGATGTCCAGCGTCTGCACGCTGTCCACCAGGTCTGACGACCGCATGAGCGGAAAGCGGATGTGGCAGAGCACGTGGCTGGCACGCGGCCGCCGGGCCGGGTCGTGCTGCAGCCAGCGGACCGCCGCACGGAACAGGTCAATCTCCGCACAGCTCTGCAGCCGATTGCTCTGTAGGAAGAAGACCAGGCGCTCCAGCGGGAGGTGCAGGAAGTCCTCCTCCTCCGCGATCTGCAGGAAGTGCTGGAAGGTGAAGGCATCCACGGACTCCTTGAGCGAGGCCAGGCTGAAAGTGGTGGCCATGTGGCCGATGTTCAGGCAGGTCTCTACACTCATGGCGGCCTTAAGAAACTCCTCGCACAGCTCCACCACGGGAAGCATCTGCAGGAACACGGCCGCACCCAGCACGTCCTGCACGCAGTCCAGGTCCAGCGTCACCTCGGCACTGTAGGCAAAGTCGATGATGTGCCGCAGGCCGCGGGCGGACACGCCCTTCAGCTCGATGGTGTCCTGGCTCGCCTCCCTCATGCCACCCGTGAACATGGCCCTGAAGTTCAGAAACACAGCATGTGGGCTCAGGGCAGCCAAGGGGCCTCATGGCCACCCAGGAATAGCCTGGCCCCTGGACACCATGAGTAGGGCACAGCCAACCAGGAGAAAGAGGTCAGATGCTCATTAAAGACATGTTACACACACAAAAAAAAAGATTTTTAATCCACCCAAGCCTTGTGTCTTCCTACAAACATCAGCTCCCCACTCTGCCCCTCTGCGTGGGGCCACATCCAGCCTACCCAGAGGTGTGGACTGCTGGGACCCCCCTGGCTCAGAGGGAGGGGCCGGGGGACCACTCATGGCAGGGCAGGTACAGGTGGGCAGGAAAAGGCCAAACGTTGACTTTGGCCATGAGACAGACGCCAGCCCCACCTTGGCACCCAGCCCTGTAAGACCACACGCACGGCAGGCTCAGGAGACAAGGTGGGGACCCCAAGAACACCGTGCACCATGGTTCTCAGAGCCAAGCCCCTCACCAGCAGGCACATGTGGGCAGGTGGCTCCACCTTCCCGAGCCCGAGTCTCCGTCCTGCCACACAGGGATGGGGAGGGGGTAAGGGTCTCCAGGTCAGAGCACCCACTAGGAGGCCCCACCAAAGTCACTGTCATCTCCGGACAGTCAGGAAAGCCCTCCAAGAATGGCCCACAGGAGCCCTAGTCCACTGTGAGACACCCTCCATCCCCAGTGAGTGACACTAGCTGTCAGCCTTTCTGTCCTGCTCTGGAAAGTGGCACTAATGTGAGCACCAGTAAGAAAAACAGGACCTGGGTCACAGCACCCCACAGCCCTTGGGGAGCCCCCATCAGGAAGAGAGGCAAGAACCCCAGCACCCTCTGGGAGTTCATAAGAGGTTCCTCTCACGAGGCAAGCACATATTGTGACAGCTGCCCAAGAAGAAGGAACTTCCCTCATCCATTCATCCAACAGATGCCTGTCCCCCAGTCACACCCAGTGTGGCCTGGGCTCGGATCCCACAGTGGGGACAGCTGAGCTTGGTGCTACTGTGGGGCCACCAACTAACAAGTGCCCAACACTCTGAACAGCAGCACCATGGAGCCTTCTAGGAGCAGGGCTCGGGCAGCCCCCCGGACCCTGCCCCTTCTTGTCCCCATGAGTCCCATCAGCCCATCGAAGGCAGAGGCAGCCACGGCGACGGGAGGGAGCTTTGCCTTTTAAGGCCTCGCCAGCTGCAGTGCCAGCGCAGAGGAGCCTTTAAAGGGCATTTCTGGCTGGGCCGGCCCACCCGTCCCCAAATCCAGAATAAAAATAGAAACGGCGCCCCAGATGGCTTGGCTGCTCCGGCTCCCCAGAACAGCCTTGTTGAGCCTGGGGGGCGGGCAGCTGGGGGGCGCACCGGGCAAGCCATCCCAGCCTTGCCACCCTAGCCTCAAGGACTGTGCAGCCCTCGGAACACACCTAAGCTGAGGCTCTGCGAGACAGTCTCCAGGGGCACTCCAGCCACCACTGGCAAAGTGGGGCCAGAGCACCACCCCCAGGACAGCACCCCAGCTCTCTCTGGCAGGGTCACAGCCTGGCAGGAGGAACTGGCCAGCTGGTCACTGAGGAAATGAGGGAGCCTGTCCTCAGCCCGTGACAGCCCCCAGCTGGTGAGAACGGCTCTAGCCCTGCTCCAAGGGGCCCTCACCGCCCCCACACACACAACCCAGCACAGGGAAGGGGATTTTAGGAAAGGGCTCTCGCAGCAGACTGACCAGTACACCCAGAAAGGCCTCACCTGTCATGAGGGGACTACGACACAGCCTGGCACGCATGGGGACCCCCATCTGGGCATCCCTCCTATTCCCTAGCCTGAGTACAGGAACCTATGGGGGCAGAGACTTGTGTCTGTCCTGTCTCTGCTGGATCCCCGAGGCCAAGCACAGGGCCTGGTACACATAGGTGTCAAATAAAGACAGAATGAAAACAAGGCCAAGCCCTGCCACTCCCCCAGGGCAGAAGCTGCTAATTGGGTGCCCATGGGCCACGCTATCCCCCAGGCATGTTCTGCTTGCCTGCACCATAACCCCCAAAAGTTTGAGAAAGTTACAAACCTAGAAAAAACTTCAGGTTTACTGAATGTGTGGCCAATACCAGCCACTTTCCCTCAGAGCCATCCTGGCTGGCTGGCTGGCTGGCTGGCGCTAGGATCACTCCCTCTTAGTTGGGTGGGCACTCTTCGGCCTATCCCCCAAGACCTGTGCTCACCTGAAGTAGTCGCTGCAGGCGGCCAGGACCACCTTGTGCGCATGGAAGGTCTCTCTGTTGATGGTGAGTACAACGTCCAGCAGCTGGCCCTGGGCACGGAGGGCAGCAAGACCCTGCAGGAGGCTGGTGCTATGGCCGGGCGCCGAGAAGGTGCACTTGAGAGCTCCATTTTTGTCAGCCATGCTGCAGGACAGCAGAAGTGGGGGCTGAGCTCAGAGGCCTCAGGTCTGTCTAGTCTCTGCCCAGGGACACTGGGCTGGCTCACCTGGGCTCTGAAGCTGCCCCCGGCGCAGGCAAAATCGCCAGAACCAGCTCTGGAGAAGCAGAAACAAAATCTGGGTCCCCATCGAATCGGCCACCTGCCTGGCAACTGGCCTTGGCAAAGGACACCGCCCCTCCGGCTTCCATTTGCCACCTGTGAAAGGGGCAGGGTTTCTCCTAGGACCTGAGGAGGCTCTAATGCCCATTTTGGTTTTTAATAGAGCTAAGATTCACGTAACATCGAATTCACCATTTTAAAGTGAACAATTCAGTGACATTTAGTACATACATAACGTTGTGCAACCATCAACTCTAGCTAGTTCCAGAACATCTTTATCCCCCACCCAAAATAAGACCCCACCCCCATCAGCAGTCCCTCTTCACCCCCCCTCCGCCAGCCCCTGGCAACCACCAATCTGTCTTCTGTCTCTGAATCTGCTTCTTCTAGACGCTTCATGTAAATAGAATCACGCACTGTGCGGCCTTTTGTGTCAGGCTTCTCTCGCTCCACATGTTTGTGAGGTTCATCCATGTTGTGGCATGAATCAGTGCTTCACTTCTTTTTGTGGCTGACTAATATTCCATAGTGTGGACAGACCAACCCTCCGTGTCACATCACCGTCCCCCATGCCCTAGCAAGCCACCCCAGAGGGCAAAAGCCCTCTTCTGTCCCCTGCAGAGGGTGGGGGGTGGGATGAAGGTGCTGGCACGGAGCCCCAGTGCGGGCAACAGGGAGGAAACTACGGCTTCCAGGGCAGCTCTTCCAGGGCTGGGGGTGTCACAGGCCAGGAGAGGCCAACCTTCTTGGAGGCCCAGCTACTCTAACACCTGCCCAGTGAGCTCCTTGCGCTCAACACCCCAGGGGAGGGCAGCCACACGACCACAAAGTCATTTTCCAAAGACTTTGGCTCTGGGTTCTACTTGATGACTGCCCAGTGGAGGGGAAAGGCCCATTGGTCCTACTTTCCAAGGATAGGGACACAATAAGTAGCTTGTCCATAGTCCCAGAGCTGTAAGACAACATAGCGGAATTCGAACCCAGGCCCAGGATGTGACGGAGTGGGTGGGATCTCCCTGTCTGTCTGGCCAATGAAGCAGGCAGGGGGTGGGGCACAGCAAACTGTGGGGAAGCCACAAAACCAAGAATATCTACCTTAAGAGGATGGGTTTGCCTATGGGGGTAGTTCAATGGGGGGATGGAGACAAGTTCAACAGAGATTGCTGCACCTCAAAATAAACGTTCTGGAGGCAAAGGTCGTCTTAGAACAAACAACGAAGTTTTAAAAAAAGAGAAGAGGTGGAAACAACCCAAATGTCCACCAAAGGGTAAATGGATAAACACAATGTGGTCATCCGCACAATGGAATAGTACTCAGTCATAAAAAGGAATGAAGCTGATTCATGCTACAATGTGAATGAACCTCAAAAACAGCACACTGAGTGAAAGAAGCCAGTCACGCGAGGTCATAAATTATATGGTTCCTTTTATATGAAATGTCCCGAACAAGCAAATCCCCAGAGACAGAAAGCAGAGTCGTGGTTGCCAAGCCGTGGAAAGAGGGCGGGGAGTGACAGCTAATGGGCACAGGGTCTCATTTGGGGGTAAGAGAAATGTTCTGGAACCAGATACAGGTGATGTGTGCACCCCACTGGAAACGCACTAAATGCTACTGAATTGTTCACTTTAGAACGGTAGATTTTATGCTATGTGAATTTCACATCAAATTAAAATAAATAAATAAGACTAAACAAAAGGATATCTGAGCTTTCTCAGGCCCTGCATAAAACCCTGCCATGACCACCAGCACCCTCACAGTGTATGAGGGTTTCTGTGCTCCATTCCCCCTTGCCCTGCTCACCCCCACATCCCCTCCCCTCCAGCACCACTGTCCCCTCTGCTGTTTCATCTTGGAAAACTTGTTGACTATATTAAAGAATGAATGGTGTAGGAGGCCCTAATACATCACTTCACCCCCCGAACACAACGGGAGGGAAAAATGCCATCACCTCTAGGGTCAGGCCACTGTGGGGTCAAGAACCCCCACCAGGACTCTCCCAGCCCATGCCTCACCCACCCCAGGCCAAGGCCAAGTACTCTGCTCTCTCCCCATGGCCTCCAGCTCTCTGGAACTTGCTTTCCCATTCCTGGGACTGACGCCTGCCCACAAATGAGGGCCAGGAATGTGGGCACTGGTCTTTCCAAGAAAGCAGGAGAAAGAAGGCTCCTTAGCCCTCACTGTCCAGCAGTTCCCAAAACAATACTGGGGATAAAAGAGCTGATGCCAAGCACAGGGCATACTGTCGGCGCTCTATCAATGCAGCTCCTGCCAACTGGAGGTCCCTGACCTGCACAGGCCACCGGCCTCAGTGGCCCCTCCACGAGAGCCTCAGGAAAGGGGGGCAAACCAACCAAGGGGCAGAGGAGCTGTAGGGCCCTGGGGTGCTGACCACAGGCCTGCAAGGTACTCAGGGTCCCAAAGGTCTGGGACTTGGTGTGGGAGGGGGGAATGGAACATGGGACATGGCATGGGGGACATGGGACACGGCAGGGGAGACATGGTCTGCACTTGGCAGACCTCCCACCCCTGGGAGGCTGTAGCGCATGCTTCAGAACTCAGCACTGCGCTCCCCTGGGCTGGTAATGCTGGGACGCCAGTGGTGTCAGTGGCCAGAGCCTGGGTTTGCCCAGATTTGGCATGCAGCCCCCCTGAAGGCCACAGAGACCCAGAAAGACTCCAAGTCTCTAGCTTGGTCTGGTCGCCTCTCCCTGCCAGGCGGAGGGGATGCCCACCTCGCATGCCCCCGTTCGCCTCCCACACTGTTATATCCAGCCCGTCATGCCTGACCAGGCCACTGCTGGGAGTTCAAGACTCTGCTCTTCCAGTTTCGCACAATGCACCCAAGTTCTGCGGATCACAAAGAGAATGTCACTGGTTTACGGACCCTCGGCTTTAAAGTGTGCCCATCCTCTGGTCAGAGCTGCCCTCCAGTGTACAGCCCCCACCAGGACATCTCCAGACGGGCTCCCACTGTGTCCTCCCACCAACACCCCCCAACAGGCCTCCAGTCTGCCCGAGATAAGGCCACATGCTATGTGAGCCTCCAAGAACCCTGGAGGTGCTCAGGTCTGAGCCCCCTCCCCCTGCCCTCTTCCTGCCTCACTGGTATTGTCAGCCTCCTGCCCCTTTCCCATGGGTGGGGGCACAAGAGCGAATGAGATGGAGAGGCCTTGCCTTCACTGGGTGCACAGTCTGGGGAATGGAGGCCCAGAGTGGCCAAATAATCCAGAAGTGGCTTCACATTGCAGCTCTGAGTGTCCCACAGCTGGGGAGGGGAAAGGAGCCTGGAACAGAAATATGCCGAGGCCAGAAAGTTGGGGTGTTCCCAGCCCTGCCACCCCCACAGTTAGACAGTGACCCCAGCCTCTCCCTTGGAGCAGAGGGCTTGGCTGCATCCTGGGTGTTGGTCCCAAAGGCCTGGCTTCCACGAAAGGCCTGCCCTGAGAAGCCCACCCTTTCCCTGCAGTCCCACCTGGGGCCCAACCTGCACCAAGACAGCACAGGGAACCACCTTCCCCCACAGCATAGACCCCTCCTGCCTGAGGCCACCATTCGACCTCTCTGTGGAGCACAGTGGCCTGGAGGCCAGGGACAGCTGGTGTGACCCCTCGGGGCCTCCCTCCCAGGGCCAGGGAGTGGAGAAGAGGCACATCTCAAACTTCACCATGCAGTGAATAACCAGGGACCACACTGAGACTCAGACTCAGGCTCGGCAGGTGTGGGCAGCCCTGGGGACGGAAGTGCCACTCCCCACCGACCCCACTCCGCACTGCTGAAGCTGTAGGGTTTAAGAAGTGACACATAGACACCATCAACATGCCACCTTCATCATCAGGATCCGTTAGAGTCACACACATCCAGAGCCTGGCCCTAAGCAGAGTGTCTCAAGGTTGGTCCAGGACCCAAAGGTGGAGAGGTGCAGCTCAGTGAGAGAGACACGCTCCTCCAGGAAGCCTGCCAGGGCCACACCATGGCCCTTGCCCCACCAGGCTCTATCCGGTTACTGGTATGAGAGGTAGAGGGCAGGATTCTGACCCCTGCTCTGCCATCTGTCAGCTCTGTGACTTCAGCACATACCCTTGTCCTCTGGGTCTTCACTTTCTTGGCTGTCAAATGGGGCAGGCAGAAGCATGGATGTCATAGCACTGCCATGACTTTCTCCCTCGTCCCCATCACCTCCTGGTAAACGAGGGGCCACAGCTACTTCCTTCAGCTTCCCTTTGGGCTGAGGAGGTGGCACGGCCCAGAGAGGGGCCACATCCCATCACCACCCACACAAGCCACCCACATGCCCCTGAATGGGGCCAAGTGCTTAGAAACTTCAAGCTTGGAACCACTCACAGAGCACTGGCACATGGCAGGTGCCCCTCTGTGGACAACTTGCCTCACAGATTTTGTACATGTGTGCCCCCTCCTACACCCCAGCCTTTGCCATTTTGCTTTCAGCTGGCTTCATTTTTTTCTTAGAAGTTTCTGATTGATTATGAGGCAGGGCCAAAGGACTTCATGTGCTTCCTCTAAGCTCCAGGGATTGGCATGCACATGCATGCCTCCACCAGAAGAAGATTTTACACCAGGGGAAACTTCATTCTGGTGCTGGCTGGTCGCTGGACATATGTCTACTATGGTCCTCCATATATAAAGAGCACCAAAAAATCAATATAAAACCAGCAATCTCACAGAAAGATGCACAAAGGATGTGGGCTGATCGTTCATAGGAAAGGAAACACACCTGGCTGGAGAGACCTGAGTCAGCATGGCTCACAATAAGAGAAGTGCACTCAGCAAGGGACTGGCTTTACCCTTTGTGTGAGCAGAAGCACTGGCTGTCTGGGAGTAGACACTCACATCGGTTCCCAGTGGGAGTGTGAAGTGGAACAATCCCCAGGAAGGCAGTTCAACAGACCTAGCAAAATTCTAAAGTCTCACATCCTTGATCCAGCAAGTCTGCTTCTGGGATTTATCTGAGATATACTTACATGTGCAGACGATGGATGCAGGAGGATATTCACCAAATCCCATTTCTGGGGGCGAAAGATGAGAAACCAGCTAAACACCTTCCAAAGGGGTATAAAGAATTATTGTACC